TAAGTATCCAAGAAATGAAATAAAATATTTCAAAATATCCACAAGAGCTGAACTACTGGCATTTCTTCTAATGACGGAATACGCTAGATAATTTTTGTCATGTCGTGACGCAACCTTTTAATGCGTAACCTAAAAGTCTATAAAATGTTAAAACTTAATAATTTTTTTTTAGAAACTGTAGTGTATATGAAATTCTTTTAATGTCTTTAATTTTTAAATTTTTTATTTTAAACGCGCTAAAATCTGATGTTTTTACCAAAATAAAGTCAAATGTCTAGCCGTGACAACAAGGAATAGCCCTAAAGCAATTTTTTCAATCAAATATATTCCCTGACTTATTTAAAGTTGCTGATGTTGTTCCAACTTTTAAAAGCGGGTGTAAACAAGATCCTTGTAACTATCGGCTTATATCCTTACTCTCAAATATAGGCAAATTAATTGAAAAGCTTATATATTACTATGGTTTCTTAGTTTTTTAAAGCTATCACATGGCTTCTATATTCTGCAGTTTGGTAGTTATAGCTATAAGTTTCGCTTATAGCTATAACTAAAACCATACGCGAGGCTTCGGATCAAAAACTCTTTGCTGGTAGAGTGTTTGTAGATTTGAAAAAAGCATTTGGTACTCTCAACCATGAAATTCTATTACCTAAACTATACCATTACGCTACAAGGGGAATTGGTCTGAACTGGTTTAAGTCATACCTCAACCTTTGTCCACAAAATGTTACTATTGGTAATATCTCATCCGCAACTAAGTTCACGTTTATAGATATTTCTCAGGGTTAAACACTGGACGACCTTTTTTTCTTATCTACATAAATAATATAAACTTATGTTTTAAGTACTCCAAAATGTATCACTTTGTTGATGACACTAACCTAGTATGATAGTAGATAAATCATTAAAAAAATAAATAAATATCTCAACTGTGACCTGGCACCACTGGTTCAAATTTAAAAACTAAATTATTTCTATTTAAACTTAAAGGCAAAAAAATTACTAAAAGCTTAATTTTATTATTAGTGGTCAAAAACCAAATATTGTCGATAAAATAAAATATCTAAGCGTATAATTAGATGAAAATCTTTTTTTATCCAACAAAATAAATCCATATCAAACAAAAAAGTCGAGCAAATGGAATGCTAACTAAAATAAGACTTTTTATGAATTACAAAACCCTTGTGAATATCTGGCATGCTACTTTTAATTCCCATCTACGCAATGGTTGTCAGACATGGGGACAAAGTTAATCCATTTATTAAAAAACCCTTATAAATCACCAGAATAAATTATTAAAAACAATTTACTTTTAACTTAAAAGCATTTAGTTTTAACATACTATATAATCTTTCTGAAATTTTTTGACGAAATTATCTAGTAATCAAACTCATACACTTAGGTCTCAAACTTATTTTAGTCTCTCTATGTCTTTAAAACAAACACATCGGTATGGCATTAGGTCAACCAAGTATCAATCGACTCAACTCTCTTTCTGTTGAATAAAAAAGTATTCAAGAAAACGAAAAATAGAAATGCCTTTACAACCCATGTAAAAAACTTTATCCTTAATAAAAGTAATCAATGAACTATCATCTATTCGATCTCCCTCTTATAGTTACTCTCAATTACTAAATTTTTAAACAAAATAAAATTGTAAATCTCATAAATAAAAACGTAAAACTTATAAAATAGAAATATATAAATATTCCTTTAGTCTCAATGATACATCCTCATTTTCATCATCTTGTAAAGTTTAAATGGCTTTAAAGTTTGTGCCGTTGTTATAAAACCATGTAACAATAATAAAATAAAAACATCAATCAACTATTTTCAACGCAATTGCCCCCGGTTTCCTTATTCTGTATAACTATTTGTTTATTTTGATTTCATTTTATTTTTTATTTTAATGCATATATCTATAATTTTATTACCTTCTAAAATATTATGCATAAAAAAATTTTGATAGATTTTCTACTTATTCTGTTTCTTTCAAAGTCATTTATTTCTCTCATTTTTCTTTTCTCCAATTTATTTTTTTTCTTTTCTGTTATATTTTTCTGTTATTGATATTATTATGATTTTTAAATTTATATTTTGCATTATTGTTATAAATGATAATCACTATTTACTAAAAATGTTTTATTTTGAATGTAGTAGTAAAAATATAGGTTTTACAGTTTCATATTATTGTATTTAGTATTTATTATTATTATATATTATTGTTATCGTTGCTATTATTATACTATTAATATGATTTATGCTATCAATAGGTCTTAAGACGTCATCAGTTTATAACTGTTTGTAAATGTCTCGCACGATTGTTGATATATATTCAGTTAATATTAAAGTCAAAACATATTGATTTTGATATCAATAAGTCATAATAGATCGTTTTATTTGTAGTTGTAAGTAAGTCAATAAATTTCCTCGATGCCATTTTTTAAATTTTAAAATAGTTTCCCGTTTCATTTCGACAACGTATCATTTAATTTCGATATTGTATGAGTACATTTCAACAATGTTTCATTCAATTTCGACACCGTTGCATTTGATTTCGACTCTTTTGTATTCAATTTCAACAGCGCTAAAATTACTTTAAATAATATAGAACTAAAACAGTTAGATTCTTTCTAAATTCATTTAGATAATATGATTTTTTAGTTTGTATACAAAGTAAAGTTTAAACGAAAATGTATCATATATAAAAAATTGTAATTGCACATACTCGCCTAATTAAAAAAATAATAAAGTAACTTATTATTTAATGATTGGTTCTCTTCTTCAACACAGAATCATATACCTAAGCACGTATCCATCTATTACAGTTTGTGCTACTAATTCAATGCAATAATTTGTGCTAGTATTCAATGCAACGTTTTGAATTTTTTCTAGCAGTTCCTTTTCAGTTTTAGACGAACATCTTCTGATAAACTGATTTTATTCAGAAAACATATTTTTGATATAATTTAAAAAGAAAGAATATGGAGGTAAAAACATCAAAGAATGTCCAGTATGTACTATTTCATCTTGAACAGCAGCTTTTTATTTAAAACGAGCACTGTCTAAAATTATGATAGCTCCAGCAACTTCATTAACACCTAATTGTGCTAATACTAGACGAATAAAATATAAAAAGCTTATTGTATTAAATGCGCTTCATATTTCAAATTTCCGTTTTTGAAATATTTCTTGACTGTATATTGGTCACTATTTGCGTGGCCCTCTTTCCAGATCAAGAATGTCCTCTTCTAATTTGCATTGAACTATTTCATCAATAAATAATATTTTATTTTCATTCATAAAAGACAAAATGTTGATGAATATTTCTGCATAAGTAGCTCTTTTATTAGGAACGTCTTCAGAATTAAATCAATGCATCTTCCTATAGTAGAATGACTGACTGATGAAGATTTTTGTTCAAAAAGTCTTTCTTTAATTTCCTTAAGAGTTATTACACAATCATCATCAATCAATTTTTGATTAGTATCTTGGATTCTTCTGTTAGTGTTTTTGTTTCTAGAACCACCTTTTAATTGCCGTTCTATCGGAAACCATTTATATGTTTTTTAATAATTGAATAGATTCGTTGAAATCCAAGAATAACTTCAATTTCTGAAGGTGAATTTCCATTTAAGCACCAAACGTTTGAATGTTTATACTGATTTCAAATAATGACGCTTTGTAAAAAATTGGAGGCTGGGAACAAAAGTGTCCTTTATCTTCATTCCCCCTTCACCCCAAATGTGAAAGGGCAACAAATTAAAAAGTATTTTTCTCAATTAGACTTATATTCATCAAGAAGTTTTAAGTTTCAAAGTATTATCTCTTAGCGTTCAAAAATTGTAACCATGTAAAGTTTAAAGCCCCCTCAATTTGAGGGGGTTACACATTTTATATGGTTATTATATTGCTTAATATTAGTCAGAGATGAAAAGAAATGCAGGCAAACTTTATTTACAATTGATATATGCATGTTTAAGTTTTAAAAAACTTTATTAGCTCACTGATAGGTTTTTATATAAAAATTATCTCACAAAATAGTTAAAAAATATGTGTTTTTTTTATCTTTTTGATATAGCAACTTGATTGACAAAGTAAAAATCTATTAAATTACTAAACTATTTAAATTGTAGAAATCAAAAACTGATAAGCTTATTAAACATATATATATATATATATATATATATATATATATATATATATATATATATATATATATATATATATATATATATATATATATATATATATATATATATATATATATATATATATATATATATATATATATATATATATATATGTATATATATATATATATATATATATATATATATATATATATATATATATATATATATATACATATATATACATATATTTCGCGATTATATTATATAATCGCGAAATATATGTATTTAAAATATTAGTAACATTTTAAACTGCTGCTTATCAACATTGGCAATGGTGATTTAAAATTTTATAAAATTTTCAGTACTCTAAAATCTTCTCAAATATATATGATATATACTGTTTTAAAGCCTTTATATTACAATAAAAGTGCTAATTTTCTATGCTATAATGTACTGGATGATTATTAATATTGTTTTGTACAATTCCATTAATCTTTTTTTTGTATACTTTTGTCACACTCTTAGCCACTGTGCAGAGTTGAGCAAGTATAACGCAAAACCGTTATATTCTGCTTAACGCCGAATATAACGGCTAACAAGCGTTAGTTTTGCTTAATTCTTGCCTTAAATTTTTTGTTATTATGGCATTAGTTTTTTTACTGTGTACATATCTTTATTAGATCAATAACAAATCTCGCCGGGCATTATAAACTTTAAACACCTTGAAAATCAAAAGACAAAATACTTCCTCACATAACAACCTTATTTTATTAATACCAACTGATTAATTTTTACTAACGTAATTGTTTTTATTAGTTTTTAAGATTAAATTTGTTATATTTTAGCTAGGAGTAAAAAATAAAGATGATAATCTTAATATATAATCGTGGTGAGATAGCTTGTCGCATTTTAAGAACTTGTCAAAAACTTGGTATTCAAACGGTAGGAATTTATACACCTGAAGATCAATTTAGTTCGCATATAAAGGAGACAGACTTTAAAATAGAATTACCGCCAGGAGATTTATCTTTTAATTACTTAAATGTCGATTTTATAATTGAAAAGTCACTGAAGCTAAATGTAACCGCAGTTCACCCCGGGTACGGTTTTGTAAGCGAGAGTGCAGAAGCTTGTTTAAAATTTGAAAATGCTGGAATTATTTGGATCGGACCATCGGCGACAAATATCGTTGATTTTTCGAGTAAACATATTTCAAAGAATATTGCAAAAAGTTGTGGTGTTCCAATAACTGATTACGCAATAGTTGAATCAGTCGAAAGTTGCTTGAAAGAATCAGAAATTGTTGGATACCCAGTCATTTTAAAGTTAAGCTCAGGTGGTGGTGGCATCGGAATGTATCGCTGTAAAAATAAAAGTGACGTATTAAAATATTTTCCTTTGGTTGAACTAAAAACAAAAAGCGTGTTCAAAGATTCCAAAATACTTATAGAAAAGTTTTTATCAAATTGTCATCACATAGAAATACAAATCATTGGTGATGGAAACGGACATGTAATTTCATTGGCAGAATTGGCGACGATAGCTTATACAGGAATTGTGAAAAAAGTCTTTCTGGTTGGTTATCACGACGCTCTTAAAAATGATCTCGATAATAATCAGATACTCCAGCAGGCTTTGAATGTTTTAGCCGGTGAAGTCTATCATCGTTTGGGGTTAGGGTTAGCCCCCCTCGCAGTTGCATTATCAACGGTAACTCATGTTGATATGACAATACCTTCATAAGGGCAATTGCCTAACAATGCTGAGCAAATGCTGAGCATATGCTGAGCAATGTTGAGCAAATGCTGGGCATTGCTGAGCAAAATGTTCATTCAAAGGGTAAAAAAATCTAAAATATAACACTGCAACATGGATAACCTAAATTCGGAAAATAAAGTAAAAGCTGGAAAAATTGCTGCAGAAAAACGTAAAGCAAAGTAAGAAGCTCTACTCGCAGAACTCACTTCTGATAAAAAAAAATTCTTTAGATGAAAAATAGTGAAAAAGGTTCAACCACCCCTAAAAAAAGACTGCCCGAAAAAATGCCCAGCACATGAAAAACATTTCTGGAGCTTTTGCTGAGTTTTAAGCTAACATCATAGTGAGGTATCGATTAATATTCTTGAGCTTCTCAGGGTGGTTGTCGACCTCGTCGGTCGGCGTTTTTTGGACTTCTGAATAAAACCAAGCGGAGGAGGCTGAGATATTTAGCTTCAGGCTCTGCAAATTCATCGGTGGAAAGCGCCCCATCTGCGAGGGCTCTCGACACCGTTTCTTGAAGAGAAGCGGTAGCTTCTTGGGCAGCTGTGTAGAGCATGTGATATCGTTGAGATGCTGATTGGTACCTTTTTTGCAGCACATCTAATTGAGCTGAAACGACACCGCATCCAGCTCCACTCCCTGCTAGCCTAATTCCAACCTGGGCAGCAACAACAGTTGCGGCAAGCGTGCTTGCAAATAGGCTGGTTTTATCAAGAGAAACACAAGCAAAGCCTAGTCTTTTTGCTATTTTTTTCTTTTCAGCGCTTTTAGACGAAATTCATCGCTGAGCACATTTACCCGCTGGACCCAAGTCAAAGCGGTCTGATAACGCTGGCTTGACGGATTGGCTGGTGTCATTTCTTGCATTTCATGCATAGAGGGTGCTGAAGCGGCTTCGTTTAGGTTGCCTAGCACTGAATAACGTCTTTTTTCGGGTGCCATTATGCCTATATTTTATTTAATTAACAATTTCCCATTATTTCTTTAATTAACAATCACAAGTTTTGATTTCAAATACAAACATCCCTTCATTAATATACACCGGCTATTTACCTGTGAGTTCTAATCTAATAAACTCATAAATAAGCTGGTCAATTATTGTAAAAGGCAAAAGGGTTTCCATGAAATTACTAAGCTTGGTTTCAAGAATACGATCTGGAGCACCTTGATACGTACCACTCGACGCAAATTGGGTGCATATAATAAGAATAGTTGCATTTTTAAGGCGATGGAGAAGCAGCCGTCAACATTATCCAATAAAAACCAAAAAATTCCTTATTCGAAGACACAACGATTGGATCCAGCAATGTATAATTGAAGGTACTTAAATTGTTATACCAATATGCTATGTGCGCTTGGTGATTCATTTTTACTAAGTTAGCTGTATTCATTGTGCGCCCTAAAGTCTAAGAGAAGATATACTTTACGGCATACCATCCGCCGATAACGACACCACCAGCAAAAACGAGAGCAGTGAGTTACTACCATCACTTTTTTGGTCAGACTTTGCAGGATTATGCTTTGTAGGATCAGGCTTTGTTAGTTCAGGCTTTGTAGGATTAGGCTTTGTTGGTTTAGACTTTGGATCAGGATTTTTTGTTAATTATTAATAGATTTATTATTAATAGATATCTTTGTTAGGATTATCAATAGTTCTCTTTTTAACTCCATTAATATTTGACACGAGACCAAAAGCCGTCGGAGGGGTTTAAATAATCTCATTGTTGTATTCTCGCAATGGGTCAGTTTTTAAGGCAAGATCGCTTGGTATTAAATAAAATTTTGGTGCCAATACGAAGTTTAAAGTTGAGTGTGCATTCGAAAGAATCTTTTGATATCGACTAATGCCTGAGCCGAAGTCTTCCGGTCTTGCAATATACGCCTCCAATGCGTTAATAAACTCAGCTTGAGCATCACGAGTTGATGCGGTGTTACCGACAATCGTGCTTCGCGCTGCAAATTGTGCACTTAAAATACATACGTTATAAGCTCTTATTGACTCAGATAAAGCTCTAAAACCAGATTCAGTAAAAACTATCCGTAGTTTTAGAAATTTGTCCTGCATACTTGTTTATTATAAAGTAGTCTTCAGATATTCTATCCTAATCAAACCGACGAGGATCATAGTGAAATAGCCAGAATGATAAGTCCTTTTCAGTTGGCATAAGAAAATTGTTTTGTACCTCTTCAAGCGCTGCTAGGTTGATGTCAACTTTCCAAGGTCGAAATCTGCTGCACTAGAAAGGGTAATATTTAACTACCAAAAGATTCGTCTCACAGTGTAATTTATGTGGAAACGATAAAGGGCGCGCATAAAGGGGTCTTAGCTGTATAACATTAAACAAGAAACACCGCAATAAACTGAGGCGGCTGAAACTGCAAAGTTTAAAAGGCATGTATACCCAGCTACACCATAAAGCTCGTGCCAAATTTCTGGTGGAAACATATTTGTAAACACATATCTGAGAAAAGTACTTTTAAATAAAGGTCTGAATGAAAACTCGCAATTTAAATAAATTATTGGCGCTTCAAGGTCGGCAATTGTAATAAGGAAACGTGACTTATTATCTGTAACTTCAGGAGGACGAAGGCCCTTTTTTTTACATCTTCTAGCGTCAAAATTATATTATATAAGGTGCTTTAGTTTGTAAAGAAATTTTTCGATAAATACTGAAGTGGGGTAGTAATGCTTACCACTGCCTAAATAATTACCCATTATATTTTTTCTTGTCAATAATTGTGATGGTAAAATTTTTAAGAACATCGATGTTACTGCGCATTTCAATTTCAACCATTGTTGTAAAGTAATTTTTGGCTTGGATGGAAGAACACTTGCAGTATTTTAAGCTACCCAAAGAGAGAAGTAATAGTAGCGCTTTCAGCCATAGTTTTAACAAGCTCTGCTCTCAAAGCATCTATCGATTCTTCTGGCTCACCTCCGTAGATCTAAAGATATAAAGGGATATCTGGAAATATATCTGGAAATAAATCAGCAATATCTTCATCTGTTAATTGTGCTTTCGCTTCCTTACCCCACACGTCAAAAGTTTCTAATGGTGTTTCTTCCACCATTTCAGCTATCTTTGTAAGTTTTGTTTTAGGTGCGTCTTTTTTCTAACAAGACGTTGTGATTTTTGCATATACCTCTGAGCTGCTGCTAGAATGATCCTACCGACCGTAACCAGAAGAACCCACAGATTTACAGCTAAGAACCCGGCAACATTGGCAGCTACTCAGAATATCCATGCAATAATTGAGCCTATAACTCTTGGGAGAGCTGAAGCTATTTTTTCAGCAAGCCAACGAAGTGCATTTTTCAAATTATCAAGTAGGCACTTAGCAGGGTTAGGTTTAGGATAAGGTTTTGAGTCAGGTTTAGGATTAGGAGGTTTAGATAGAGGGGACACTTCCGAACCTCTTAATTCCTTCGACGTGAGCAAGAATAGTAGGATCAATAGCTGCAAACACTGTCCCTAAAGTTATCCCCTGCTGCCTAAAATTTGTTCTAATTTTCTCACCTAGAGACAGTCTATCCCCCAGTAGTCTGTTAACAAGGTCGCGGATTAGTGCAGATTGGCTCTTTAAATTACCTTTAAGTTCAACTATTCTAACATCTACAGCTTCAAGTTCTTTTTGAGCGTTTTTAAGGTTTAGTTTTTCCTGTTTGCAATCTTCTCGCGAAGTCTTAGGGTTTTTTCGTTCTTGTTTTTCAAGGGTGTCAAGTTTACTTTTTAACCTGTCAAAGTTATTTTTAAGCAAGCGTTTGGTCAGCTAGGGCTTGGTCAATAGTAGCGCGAATTTAGTTGTGTTGTGTCTTAATATTTATCAAATCTTCTTTAGAAGCAGTTGGAACAGAGGCGTTATTATCTGCAAGAATCTCAATCGAAGAGTCAATACTATTATTTACTTTTTGAACACAACTCCAATCAAGATCATCGTCATTATTTATTGCATCAACCAGTGTAAAAAGTGCTCGATAAGTTTTATTCATAACTTCATCAGTATGCGTAGGTGGCTTACCATATATTGTATACCCATATCACGTATGGCACCTAAAAGAAATCTATTTCATAATAAAAACAAGTTCCCTTTTTTCCCGATAAGAGTTATACGGAGTATACTTTAAATTTATATCTTGAATAAGATCTTAAGGAATAATAGCTATTCTATTTTTTCTCCTGAAAGTATTTAAACTATCGTTAGATCCAGGAATTTTAAATATTGAAACTCCCTCATGCCTCCTAAAAGTACTGCATCTAAAAATAGAACAATTAGCACCAGACATTTGAAGAATTGGATGATGAAGATGCAGTTAAAACACGCAGTTCATAGAAAAACAATCAAAGAAAATAAATTTTGTGCACTCTGCGGCGAACTGGACACTAAAAAATTGCTAACAAAGAGTTGATCATAGAAATACTGCAAGTGGCCACACTATCTATTTCTTATGACTATGTTTTATCTAAAGAACGGCCAGCAGCCTTGGTGCAGTGGTAGGTTGCTCACTTCAGAAATAATAGGGAGCGCGTCCCCTCTCGTTTCTGAGAGGCCACGCCCCTCCCCTTACTTTTTTTGTGTGGAACTTCTTTTTTTAAAAGAAATTGACGAAATTAAGAACTTCTTTTCAATATGAGGTAGTGTGCCCCCCACTTTAAAACCCGTATCGTCTGCCCTGCGTAAACCATTGATTTCTCGTCCGATATCCCAAAATTTATGGAAAAAAATTCAGTTAAAATTGTCTTAAAAGGTCATTGGTCTAAACGTTTATATATTGTAAACGATCATATAGCAAAAAACTTATTTAAAAACAGTCTACGCAAAATGTTAAACTTTCATTCATTTTTCGCAATTAAAATTGACAAAAATGTACCTTTCTCTCGCGTTCTAAGCAATAAAAAGAAGCAATAACTTGTTTGTTTTTTTTGTTTGTTTTTTTTTTTTTCTTTGTAATCTCATATTATTTTGTTATACTGTACGGTTTTTATATCAGTATAAATCAGTTTCCTTTTTGCATTATTATCTGTTGCTAACTTTTTCCATTATGATATAGGAAAGATATATTCGAAAACGTAATTTAAGTGAGACACATCTAAATTTAGTACATAGGAATTTTCAACTTGTGAAACTATCAAAAAGTATATTGGTTGAAGCACTATTTCTTATCTGGTTAATAATATTTCTACACAATTTTAAATAACAAAAAAACAAAATTTGTTTGGTTATTTTTATTGTTTTTTAGTTACTGCACTTAAAGGTTATGTCAATTAAAAATTTTTTTAAAGATACCCAGTGCCGGCTACATCAACAAAATGGCCGATTTCACCCAATTTTCGGTTTTTATTGTCGCACTTGTAAGTCTTCTGGAGTCTTTAGATCAATTTCGCTCATCGGCATTAATGTGAATTTAGTTAAAATCTTTTGAAAAAGTTCTTTAATTTACTACTGATCCTAGTTCTAGTCGGTTCTGACGAATTTTAACTATATATAGTTATCAAAACATAATATTTCTATAAATTACTAAAAAAATACTATAATTCCGACCAAGAAAGAGCTTATAATTACGGAAAATTACCAATAAACGATCAGAACAGATCATATTGTTAAACTATAATGTTGAATTCATCTAAAAAACCTATTAATTTAAGATCCTATTCAACTTTGTACGAGCGATTGTGATTTGAAGATAATTAAAAAAAAAAAAAATATTCCTTTTTTTTTTTTTTTTCTTAGTTTATTTTGTCGTTTTACACATTTTACAATGTTATCTTTAAATTCGAATAAATATATATATAATTACAAGCTGACAGGGGCAAGTAGAAGACATAAAGTCTTATCATCAAGCCCTTTTGTGAAATAGAGAAATATAAAATTTCTAAAATTCCAATAATATAAAAAAGAGTTAAATTAAAAATTTTGAAAAAATAAACAAACATTCAAACAAAATTAAAATAAAAATAAAAAAATTTAAAGAGTTTGAAATAAAGTAAAAAGATTGAAAAAAATTAAAAAGTTTAAAATAAATTAAAAATTAAAAAAAGTAAAAATTAGAAAGAAAAAAAAATAATAATAATAATAATAATAAAATCTCGAAATAAAAAAATAAAAATGTATACAATGCGTAAATTAAAAAGTTTGAATTTTTTTTTACAAATCAGAACATATACGTATACATATTCAATACACGTATACGTATATTCAATACACATATACGTATACATATTCAATATAGAATCTTCGGTGCGGGTTTTTTTGCAACAAATAATTATTATTTATGATAGCGTAAAATTTATCGTTTGAATATTTTTTATCTTTTCATAATTCACAGACCTGACCATTTTACGGAAATATGTCGTAGTCAACAAAGTATCTTACAGACGCTATAATATTTTAAAAGTGCCTTAACTACACCGAGTAAGTCGTATTTGTCATAAAAAAAAGGCATTGTATTTTAAAATTTTTCTTTCAAAGCAAAAGGTTTTAGCGCAGTAAAATAACGATCTTGGAACACTCTTTTATTATTAAAAGATTTTAAAAACAAATATAATAATACAAACATACATTAAAAAGTCCCGACGGGCATTTGTTTTTAAAAGTTACGTTCTAAATGTATTTTAAATGTCTTTTAAACGTCTTCTAAACATTCTTACGCAAAAAACGTTCAAAAGACTTTTAAAATACATTTAGAACGTAACTTTTAAAAACAAATGCCCGTCGGGGTAATACAAGATTTTAAATTTTTATATAAAAAAAATAAGCCAATAAAATCAGCGTTACAAAATAGCATTACCTTAATTATTATCGTTAGATAAATAAGCTCAACTATAATGAATTATCTGAATTATCTATTACATAACTATATGTAAATATTTCACTGTAATTGCATATTTGGACTTTTGCTCTTTAACAAGAAGAATAAAAAATAGACATTCATTTCAAAGCGAAACATTTAGACATCATTTATCTTAGTTAACAATTATTAGTGCCAAATATTAATTATTTATATTAGTAACTGCCATCAGAGTTTGACCAACCTTGACTACCTGACCTGTTCTTACTAGAATTTTATTTATTTTAGCATCAACAGGTGATTTAATTGCTATACTCATTTTCATTAATTCTATAAGCATTATGGGATCGTCTTTTTTAATGACATCATCTTCTTTTACTTTTATCTCATATACGCAGCCATATTGATCTGATTTTATAAGAAAATATGCTGATAAACTGTTATCAGCTTCTTGATTGCTATCACCTTCGTCCTCTTGATTTTCATTTAAAACCGTGCTTTCTTTATTTGAAAAAATACTCCAATTAATTTGCGTCGCAATTCTTGTCAAGTTGTGTGATTCTTTATACCTTAAAATAGATAGTTGGTTATGTTCGCAAAAGCGTCGATAATCTGACAAAGCTATTGAAACATTTTCAAAGTTTAATGTAAACTTTCCGAGCTTGTATTCTTCTCTTATATGAATTAGTTCATTGTCGTTTACTAAATAAAACTTAATCATATCAAAAAAGTCAAATAACCAAGGTTTAGAACTATATGTATTCCAAATGGGCAAGGTTCTACCAATTAGTTGATACCCACCAGGAGATTCCATTCCATAGATGCACATATATATACCTCCAATACCAACGGCTCCCTCGGGAGTAAATGTGCGGGCTGGATTATACTTTGTTGTAATTATTCTATGCCGCGGATCATACGGAACAGCCAGTGGAGCTCCTAAATAAACATCGCCTAAACCTAACACAATATAAGTTGTGTCAACTAAGATAGACGTTAAATCTTCTAATGATTTAAAACCATTTAAACTCTGTACAAAGTTACAGTTATCCGGCAAATACGGAGCGTTGTTGCAGATTGTTTTCATATATCTGGAAATAGCTTGGAGACTCCAATAATCGTGAAAAGCCAAAGGCAATCGAACACTTCTGCAAGCAATTTTCATTTCGTTAACATCTTTTGAATTCGGTATTAATTTTGTTATTAGATCTGCCAGTTGGTTAGCAGATATTAAGAATGGATTGCATTTAACGAGTAAGGTACTCACTCCTGGAACCATTTCTAAAACATATTCATAATTTAAATGTTTTAGTTTATTAAGAATTACTTGAATATAAAAACGATTTTCAATTTCGAATTCATTTAATTCAAACTCTACTAATACATGTTGATCGCCAGATAAACGAAATAAAACTTTTGGTTCTTTTAAATTTGGCATGCGAATATTAAAGACTGGGTTGATTGAATTGCATGGATCGATTTGAGGTGTTTTTAAAACGCAACACTCATTAAACTTGCCATTTAAAAGATGAGATTCTAACTTTAATGATTCTATGGCATAATTATAGTCAACTTGCACAAATCTAACTTTATCTCCTGGCTTAAATTGACCAATTTTCCAAGATTCGCTTTGAATAATAGTCAGCGGACAAACAAAGCCACCTAAACTTGGTCCGTCGACAGTAAGAATGATAGGTGTATTACCAGAAAAATTTACTGAATTAATAGAATAAGCATAATCGTGGACGTTTGAAGGATGAAACCCTGCATCACCTCCACTTTTTCTTGACCATGTGGGTTTCCATACGGTTTCAAGTCTAATGCCGAGTCTATTTGAATTATGATTGATTTCATACCAACTTGACCATAGATTTATAATATCTTCTTTTGTAAAGTAATCAGGTTCTGAATGCGGTCCTGCTAAAGCAAATACTTCCCATGTGTTTGATAATGTTGGTTTGAATTGTGGCGGCCATTTTAAAAAATTTGTTTTAATAATATTTTTGGATAAAGGAATTGTATCAAACATCTTTAAAGTAGTGCCATTTAACCCTCCAAAATTGCCGGACGGAAAAGTTGATCTTGAACCTAAGTATGGCATCGTTTGACAACCACCTTGAATTGCTAAATAAACACGACAACCAGCAAAGTTTGATTGTTTATTATCAAGTCTTATTTCTAAAATTCCATTTTTTGGCACAAAAATACTTTCGTACATATTGAAACTAGTGTTATTTATCTTGACTTGAGCTGATGCTCCTGTAACTGCAATTAAAGAATTACAATTAAATTTTAAAACCAAACAATCATGTAGAATCTCGATGCCAGCAGCTTTAAAATCATTTTCAACAAGATAGTTTGCAATTCTAAAATTTCTGTTATCCATTGGGCCAGACGGTGGTATACCAATATTCCAATAACCAACTCTACCGGGATAATCTTGAATTGTAGAATACATTCCAGGTTCTAATACTTGAGCCGTATAGGAATCGTAGCTAAAGTTATTAAGAAAAGAAGTTAATGTTTTACCTTTAATAAACAATTCGTGTTTTAAAACCTCAGTTAAAAACTCAAGATTTGTATTTACACCTTGAATAACAGTTTTTTTAAGACATTTCAAAAGTTTTTTTAAACACTTCTCTCTAGTTTGAGCAAAACAAATAACTTTAGCTAGTAACGGATCGTACAACGGTGATATTACAGTGCCATTTTCAATCCAAGTCTCAATTCTTGTATTCACATTGTCTTGAGCAAAATAGACGTGGGTTAATTGACCGCAAGACGGCATAAAACTGTTTAAACAGTCTTCAGCATAAATACGAACCTCAATTGAGTGTCCTTTATTTTGCCTAATGTTTTTTAACGAAATTTTAGGTACTGAAAAACATGCTAGTTTAATCATTATTTCAACCAAGTCAACGTCAAACAACATTTCTGTAACAGCGTGTTCTACCTGAAGACGTGCGTTTACCTCTAGAAAAAAATATTCATTTGGTTTGCTGTCATCAACTAGAAACTCCACTGTTCCTACAGATCTGTAACTTACAAACTGAGCTAACTTAATAGCATCAGAACACATTTTTTGTCGCGTTTCTTGACTTAAGAATGGCGATGGAGCTTCTTCTATCAATTTTTGATTTCTTCTTTGTATAGAGCATTCTCTTTCTGCCAATGAAATTACATGTCCGTTTCCATCACCAATGATTTGTATTTCTATGTGATGACAATTTGATAAAAACTTTTCTATAAGTATTTTGGAATCTTTGAACACGCTTTTTGTTTTTAGTTCAACCAAAGGAAAATATTTTAATACGTCACTTTTATTTTTACAGCGATACATTCCGATGCCACCACCACCTGAGCTTAACTTTAAAATGACTGGGTATCCAACAATTTCTGATTCTTTCAAGCAACTTTCGACTGATTCAACTATTGCGTAATCAGTTATTGGAACACCACAACTTTTTGCAATATTCTTTGAAATATGTTTACTCGAAAAATCAACGATATTTGTCGCTGATGGTCCGATCCAAATAATTCCAGCATTTTCAAATTTTAAACAAGCTTCTGCACTCTCGCTTACAAAACCGTACCCGGGGTGAACTGCGGTTACATTTAGCTTCAGTGACTTTTCAATTATAAAATCGACATTTAAGTAATTAAGAGATAAATCTCCTGGCGGTAATTCTATTTTAAAGTCTGTCTCCTTTATATGCGAACTAAATTGATCTTCAGGTGTATAAATTCCTACCGTTTGAATACCAAGTTTTTGACAAGTTCTTAAAATGCGACAAGCTATCTCACCGCGATTATATATTAAGATTATCATCTTTATTTTTACTCCTAGCTAAAATATAATAAAAATTTAACAAATATAATCTTAAAAACTAATAAAAACAATCAAAATTAATAAGTAGGTATTTACAAAATAAGATTATTATGTGAGGAAGTAATATGTTTTTTGATTTTCAAGGTGTATAAAGTTTATAATGCCCGGCGAGATTTGTTATTGATCTAATAAAGATATGTACACAGTAAAAAAACTAACGCCAATATAGCAAAAAATTTAAGGCAAGAGTTGACTAAAATTGACGCTTGTTAACCTTTATATTCGGCGTTAAGCCGAATATAACGGTTAAGCGTTAAACTTGCTCAACTCTGCACAGTGGATCAGACCGTGACAAAAATACAAAAAAAAAGTTTTATGGAATGATGCGAAACAGTAATATTATTTTTCCAGTAGATTATAGCATAAGAAATTAGTACTTCTATTGTAATATAAAGGCTTTAGTACAATATACATCATGTTTATTTGAAAAGATTTTAGAGTACTGAAAATTTTTAATCACTATTTACAATGTTGAGCAAACAATTTCAAATTATTAATTATCCTATTGCTTTTCGATTTCTAAAATTTAAAATAGTTTAGTAAGGTAATAGATTTTTATTTTGTCAATCAAGTTGCTATATTAAAAAGATAAAAAAATATCGATATTTTAAAATTATTTTGTTTTTTATATAAAATGTCATCAGTGAACTGACAATATTTTTTTAAAACTTAAACATGCATATATCAATTGTAAATAAAGTTTGCCTGGTTTTTTATTGCTAGAATTAAGCATTAAAATATTCATATAAAATTGGTAACCCCCTCAAATTGAGGTTTAAACTTTATATGGTCACAATTTTTGAACGCTAAGAGATAATACTTTGAAACTTAAAACTTATTTATGAAAATAAGTCTAAATGAGACTAGTACAAAAAATGTATATAAAAAAAAAAAAATATATATATATATATATATATATATATATATATATATATATATATATATATATATATATATATATATATATATATATATATATATATATATATATATATATATATATATATATATATATATATATATTTGTACATATATATATATATATATATATATATATATATATATATATATATATATATATATATATATATATATACATATATATATATGCATGTATATATGTATGTTTTAATATAAACCTGGTAAAAGTTGTGATATTGTTTAATGAAGATAGTCAAAATTACAGTAACGCTGACCAAGACCAAATCTAAGTTCTAATCTAAGGAAATCTAAGTCTAGGGAACTTGTGTCACCGACAAACAAAACAATTTATGAAAAAGTAACTTAGATTTGTACTATTTTTATATTGTGGTGCGCATGCGCATTTTTTTTATATTGACTATGCCTTTTCTGTATAAATTAACTATAAGACCTTTTAGCATATAAAAAAATGTTAATGGTTGATACCAATGAATAAACTATTTTAATATATAGGGTTAGGTAGTGTAGGGCTAAGCCTAAACTTACAATAACTACATATTTACAATAACTATTACAACAAAGCAAATGTTATTGTTGCTATGTAAATTTGGTATCTAAGGCAACAAAGCAATTCATAAAAACAATACCTTTACAAATCACATTATCCATTTAACATGTATACCAAAATTTGTTACAATAATGTTAATGGTTTAAAACAATAGTAATTTTGTCTTAAATTGACTTTATTATTACTAAGAAACCAGGTTGCTATGTAAATGAGGTTTTGATAGCAACCAAACAACAAATATATTACCTTTCTAAAAAGCACAGGCTTCATATTAGTACACATGCCAAGTTATTCTGACACTGTGCTCTGGTGTTATATGGGCGTTATACTGAGAATAATTAAACTATCGGTTCAACCGTAAACTATCGGTTCAACCGTAAACTATCGGTTCAACCGTAAACTATCGGTTCAACCGTAATATTGGGCGTTATATTTATTTTACTACTCCTATATTTACAAACGTAACTAAAAATAAAATAAAACGTGTTTTTAGATAATTATCAACCATATTTCTATGTTTTCCGCAAAAAAAATAAAAAATTTGTTTGTTATTTTTTCATTACTATGTTTTCCGCAAAAAAAAATAAAAAACTTGTTTTTTTTTCAATTTTATTAACTCAAACCTTTGAACGATAAAAAATCAGATTTTTTGAATTTAAATTACAGAAAAATATTTATTATTGTTAAAATATTCAAATTTTTTACTA